GGAAATGGACACATATTCAAAGCCAAAACGAAGTGAGTTTTGAATTATTTGCCACTTTAACTTTTCCATGCTTCTGCTATAGTAATTAAACATGTTATTATTAAGTCAATTGCTGTTATTAACTATTCACTTTGGAACACTCCATTGTTGCTACAATTATAAAACTTCATTTAGTTGGAATAATCAAGGTATTTAGAAAATGTGAATTTTCCTAATCTACTAAAGCTCACTGTTTATTAATGTTTTCTTCCACGGTTGTTGGTGTAAATATTTCTAAAATGATATAGTGATATGTAAATATTGCTAAAAATGATATAATTTCTTATACAGAATTAACTAAAAGTGCCTAATTCTTTCCTGATGGCCAAAAGTCATTGGTATAAACAACTATTGTTGATATAAATAAATACCCTCAGAAGCTAAGGTGTAAGGCCTTGTGTGACTATTAAACTTTTCCTTCACTGTCAGGTACTCTCTTCGTGGTCATTATTTGTATTAGCATCTAGTTGTCCCTCCTAGCAACCTTGATCCGACTTTGTGGCAGCTATTCTGCTTAGGGTCTCTTTTGATTACATTTCCTAGTTCTTGGCTGTATTCTAGATATCCAGAAGACAAATATCAGGGATTCTTAGCAAGATATTATTCTGTGTTAACAAGAAATGATAACTCTGATTTATTTATATATACTTATTTATATAGTATCTTCTATTTCAAGGAGATTAAAGTTTCACACTGAATCAGAATGACAGAAGAGTAGGTGTGCCATATCATCACCACCACAACTATGCAACAACTACCCCTAAAGTAACAGCCATTAGAAAAATTAACCAAACAGGTTAAGAAAGCCCTACGGCTCAAATGATGGTTACTAGCTTTGTGGCCTTGAGCAAATAACTAACCCTTTTATGCCTCTGTTTCCTATATGTAAAAGTGAGAATAATAACAGTATCTCCCTACATTTAGGATTCTTATGAAAATCTAAACTAAATGAGATGTTGCAAACAAAATAGCATAGTACTGGCTTAGAGCAAACAATATTTCAGATTTTAACTGTTATCTTTAAAATCCTGACTTATGTAGTAACTTCCATTTAAATAGATTTCCTTAACTATCTTCTCTATGGTACACTTATGAAAATACTATTAAAAATGTTAATAGTATCTAGTATTTAATGAACAATTACTGTATGTTAAAATTGTATTAGTCTATGGCCATGTTACCCTGAACGTGCCCAATCTCGTCTGATCCTGGAAGCTAAGTAGGTTCGGGCCTGGTTAATACTTGGATGGGAGACCACTGTGGAATACCAGGTGCTATAGGCGTTAAAAAAATAATAATAAAAAAAAAATTAAAATAAAATAAAAAAATAAAATAAAATAAATAAAATAAAATAAAATGAAATTGTGTTGAAGGCTTACAGAGGCTATTTGAATCCTTAGCAAAGTCCTGGGAGGTAGATACCATCTCATCCCTATTACAAACAAGTATACTGAGGCTCAAATGACTTAAGTAGCTTGTCCAAGTTCACAGAATAAGTAGTGGTAAAACTGGAACTCCTATGATTATAAGCTCTCCCCTATCTTGAGAAGAAAAGCAGCTTCTATTAAAATATACTTACAAGAAAGTTGAGAAGCTAATTCTTTAATCTTATCCTCTACCTGACTACTCAAGGTCCCTAGCTGGAAAAGCAGGAAAGATTTATTTTATTTTTGCTTTTTAACTTACCCACTCACAATCGATTCCAAGTGCTGGAAAATCTTCTAACTCACTCCTAAGCAAGGGCATGATTTGATCCCACTCTGCCTCCTGAGACACAGTGACCACCTTTGCTTCAAGGATCATCTCCTCCCATGAGGCTCTAGTGGCACTGGAGTGCAGCTGGTCCTCTTCTGGAGTGGGTAACTCTCTCCTGCCTGGAGCTTCCTGTTGCTGTTGCTGTTGCTGCTGCTGCTGCTGCTGCTGCTGGTACTGCTGGTGCTGCTGGTGCTGCTGCTGCTGCTGGTGCTGAGTCCCACGGCTTGTTTTACTCCTCCGGCGCTGGATGCCTTTCCATAGGACAAACCCTCCCACAGCCACACCAAGAAGGGTGGTCACTGTCAAAGCCACTAAGTGCCTAGACATCTTCGGCTTTGCTATTGTTTAGGAAAGCATATCACTAATCCCATAATCTGCAAAACAAATGGCAACATATTTACATACAGAATTCAAAACTATATGGAAAAAAGTTTTCCCTAAAAGTGTTCTATTTACAAGCCATGTGCATATAAACTAAAGAAATGGCTACAAATTTCTAAATGAAACAGTGATGTTTTAATTTTTTCACTTTTGTACATCTATGCTCCATCTCTACCTCCACTCTCACACAAGAAACCCGCTCCCCACTGCCCCGACCCCGTCCTCTGCCAGTTGCCCAGGGCTCTCTTAATCATATAAAATCATACCAATCTAAATAGAATAAACACTTCTTAATCATATAAAATCATACCAATCTAAACAGAATAAACTAGACTCTCACTTCTACTTACTGATACATTAATGAGTAAATATTAGATAATGGATCTTCTTTAAGGTGTTTGTACCTTAAACTTTCAATCTCTAACAGTTGAATAGAAACTCCTACTTTTCAATAAAAAAATCTAATCATCAGCAAGTTGGTGGGGAGATTTCTTTTCTTCTGGAAGGTGTGGGCAGTGGGGGATGAAGCAAACAGGCTTAAGTAAACATGGATTTTATTGCTCTAAAAGTCTCAGTAGTTCTCCATAGAAACAAGCCCAGATATTGAGGGTAAGCTAGGGCAGTAAAAAGGGAAGATGGGACTCGAAAAGGACAAAACCTAGAGAGAGAACCAAGATGTCCAGGAGGAGGCTGCAAATTGAAATGTCCACAGGGTCAAGCCAGGATAACGTAAATAAGTGAAGCAAGCCAAGAGACAGAAAACTGACACAGATAGTGGATTAAATACAGTCATGTGCCACATACCACTTCGGTCAGTGATGAACCACACATACAGTGGTGGTTCCATGAGACCGTAATGGAACTGAAAAATGTCTATCACTTAGTGACACCACAGCACAACATGTTACACACGTGTTTGTGATGATGCTGTTGAAAACAAATCTATTGTACTGCCAGTCCTATAAAAGTAAAGCACATACAGTTACATTCAGTATATAATATTTGATAATGATAACAACTGTTATTAGTTTATATACTTACTATACTATACTTTTTATCGTTATTTTATTGTATACTCTTTTCTACTTATTAAAAATAGTTTACTTGAAACGGCATGCCATGTTATGCTGTGTTATGCTGACAGCAGCCTCATACATCACTCATGGGTTTACCACTTCTCTTGACTGCATCATTTCTGTCTTGTGCTTCATTTAATCTCATGTTGTTTTGTAGTCACATGCTGTACAGGCTTGTGCCACAGAGACTAGGTGTGTAATAGGCTATACCATCTAGGTTTGTGTAAGTACACTCTATGAAGTTCATACAACTACGAAATCACCTAACAATGCATTTCTCAGAATTCTTGTTAAATGGTGCATAACTGTATATAGGAACAGTGGTTACCTAAGGGTAATAGGATTATAAATAATTTTGATTTTTCAAATTCTATACAACTATGTATATATTCATAATTAGAAAAATACAATTTTTAATGGTTTTTTTAGAGATAGGCAACATAAATATCCCACTTTTAACACTTAAGATATAATTATATTCCTGAAATAAATTATATTTTAATGAATTAAACAAATACGTTAAAGTATTCAGACAGCAGCTTACGGTAAAGGATAATGACATGGGCCTTAGAATCAAATACCGTGGGTTCAAATCTAGCCTCTGCCACTTGTTAGCTATATAAACTTAGGCAATTTACTGAACTTCGCTAAGCCTCAGTTTCCTCATCAGTAAAATGAGAAAGACAGTACCTACCATGGAGGATTATTGTGAAGCTTAAGTAAGATGATCAATATACTTCACTTAATATATTGGCTAGGACATTAGAGTTCAATAAATGTTAGCTATTACTACTACTAGTATTCTATAAACCACAGAACATCTATCTAGCAAAGGAAAACACAGACTCATAGAGTTAAAATTTAGGAACTAAATCTGGCTTCCACACAGTTCAAGAATCTTTCCATGGTAATCATCACAGATCTCTACCTGGCCTCTGACCTGGTCTCTACCCGAATTCTTCTAGGAACAGAGTTCATTACCTTAAGAGGCAGTTTGGTTAAAAGTCCTTACATACTGTAAAAGTTCACCGCACAGAAATTGTTCTCTTTGATGATCAGTCTAACCTCTGAAATAAGTGTTTACTCCCTCCCCGAGAGCTTGTGAAATATGTAAAGATAGCTCTTATTACTCCCCTTAGTATATTCTACTTAACACAACCAGTGTTCCTCTGACCTAGTTCGTAGACTGCTCATCGTCCATGCTAGATCCTTTTGAATAGCCCAAAGTTTGTCAATGTATCTCTTAATTGACACCTAGGTCTGTATTCAATATTTGAGACATGGTCTAACTGGTATGGGCTACACTGTTACTATTACTTATTCCACTTATATTTTATTAATACTGTGTGAAACATGTTTTTGAGTAGTAGAATCACACTGATGGGTCATACAAAGCTTGTAGTAAATTAAAATTCACTGATACCACATCGAATTCTCTATTTTATATATTTGAAATTATATTTTGCACTTAAATCCAAAACTCTATATTTCTTTCTTCTAAATCTCATCTTGTTTATCAGCCAAATGTTTCATTCTTTGAGACCAACTTGTATCTTGTTTGTGCCTTCTTTCTCAATTTAATTTCGTTTTCAAAGAAAATAACATCGTCCAACATGTTTTTATAAATTCATTTTAAAATTTATTTTTCCATTTCACACTATTTCCATATTTAATAACGTTAAAATGGGGTTAAATTAGATTAGAAATAGCTTAAAAAACAAAGTACTGATTTGCTTCCATTGAGAAGGGCTCCTGCAGATATGGCATACAGTCAAGTTCCCAACTGATTCCTCGTCATGTGCAGCCTCTGAAAAGAAAGGCCTCACAGAAAAATTGAGGGAGCAATCGGGGTACCTCCATATGAGGGAATTCCTGGCAATTTTAAAAAATCTTATTAATTCATTTTTATATGGAAAGGTTTTGTGTGTGTGTGTGTGTGTGTTTCCCAGCCAAAGGATTCATTCAGCAAACATGTAAGTAGCGCTTTCAATAAGCCAGACATTGTGCTTGAGACTCTAGGTAAAAAGTTAAAAGACACAATCTACTTTCAAAAATTTAGAATTCAGAACAGGAGAAATACATGTAATGAACAAGTGCAATACAGCGAGATGACACCAACAACAGAAGCACACACGAGTACAGGGATGGCAAAGAAGAAATTATTAACAGAAACGCTAGCTGAAACAAATGCTATCTGAGGTTGGTACTGGTATTAAAAATGAACAAAAAGTTCTCCAGGTGCATAGGGCAGATAGGAGAAGGGCATTCCAAGCGGAGGGAGGAATATGTGCAAGGATATGAAGGGCATGAAGCATCATGGCATAGATGAAAAAGCTCAAGCAAATTTAACATGTACTGTAAGAGTAAAATACCAAATTTTGAAGACTTACTAAGAAAAAAAAGTAAAAATACCTATTGATAATTTCCTTATTGATTTTTAAGGTGACCTTTTCCTATTGTAGTAAAACATACATAACACAAAATTTACCATTTTAACCATTTTTAAGTGTACAATTCAGTGGCATTAAGTACATTCACAATGTAGTGCAACCATCACCATTACCTGTTTCCAGAACTATTTCATTATCCCAAACAGAAACTCTGTACCATTAAGCAATAAATTCACACTCCCCCTTTCCCGAACCCCTGATAACTTTCCTTACACTTTCTATCTCTATGAATTCCATATTGATTTTTTATATCTATGTTGAAATAATATTTTGGATGTAAGGGTTAAATAAAACGTGTTATTAAAAGTAAGTTACCAACAATAAATTGCATAGAAGAAAACATAGGAACTAAACTCAAGGACCTTGGACTTGAAGAGGATTTTATGAATTTGACAAGGCAAGGGAAGTAAAAGCAAAATTAAATGAATGGGACTACATCAAACTTAAAAGCTTCTGCACAGCAAAAGAAACGGTCAACAAGGTAAAGAGACAACCATCTAAATGGGAAAATACATTTGCAAGCAATGCCTCTAATAAGGGCCTAATATACAAAATATACAAAGAACTCATACAACAACAACAAAAAAAACAATCCAATTAAAAAATGGGCAGAGGGCCTGAATAGACACTTCTCCTAAAAAGACATACAAATGACCAACTAACATGAAAGGATGTTCAACATCGCTAGTTATTAGGGAAATGCAAATCAAAACCACAATGAGATACCATCTCACACCTGTTAGAATAGCTATTATCAACAGGACAAGTAATAACAAGTATTAGAGAAGATGCAGAGAAAAAGGTACCCTCATACACTGCTGGTAGGACTGCAAATTGGTACAGCCACTATGGAAAACAGTATGGAGGTTCCTCAAAAAACTAAGAATTCATCTAACATATGATCCAGCAATCCCTCTACTGGGTATTTACCTCAAAGACTTGAAAACTCATATCTGAAAAGATATCTGCACACCGATACTCATAGCAGTTTTATTCACGGTGGCCAAGACATGGAAGCAACCAAAGTATCCTACAATAGATGACTAGATAAAGAAGATGTGGTACATATATACAATGGAATATTACCCAGCCATAAGAAGAGATGAAATACTGCCACTTGTGACAACATAGATGGACCTTGAGATAATCGTGCTGAGTGTGATAAGCCTGACAGAAAACACAACATAGATGGACCTTGAGATAATCGTGCTGAGTATGATAAGCCTGACAGAAAAAGTTGAAAACCATATGGTATCACTTATATGTGGGATATAAACCTAAAAGCAACAAACAAACAGGGCAAACAAACAGAGACTCAGGGACATGGACAATAAACTAGTGGTTACCAGAGGGTGTGGAGGAGGGAGAGGAGGTAGGTGGGGTAAAGGGGGTCACAAATATGTGGTGACAGAAAGAAATCTAACTATGGGCGGTGAACACACAATGCAATATATATATATATATGCC